ATATATATATATATATATAAAAAAAAATTATATATATATATATATGCCAACCAATAAAATTGGAGGAATAAAAAGCCAACAAAATGATAATAATATTGGCAATAAGATTGATGATATTTATTATATTGACTTTGACTAAATTGAAACACAAAGAGAAAGATTTTAACGGTGTGCTTTTTCAATGAAAAAGTAGTTGAATCTCTTCCATGTCTCCATTTGTCTGCTAGCCAGAGACTAATTCAGCAGATAGCCTTCACCCCTATAATCATCTATATGTGTAGACTGGCTATTCAGTTCTAAATTGAATTGATGAGTGATATATAAAATGGTGATGGTTGATTCTTCCATCAATTTCCATGTATGAAGGCCCAAAAGTACAGTTTAGATTTGAATCGCCTCATTGCCTTCACCACAATAATCATCTATCTGCTGAATTAGTCTCTGGCTGGCAGAAAAATGAAGGCACTGAAGAGATTCAACTCCTTAAAAAGACCATGATCTTTATTACAGCTACATTTAATAGAGAACAGGGTGGAATGGTGATACAAGGTTTACTGGGTAACCTCCCTTTCCAAATCAAATTACACGAGAACACAGAGTACTGTAAGTTGGTAGTTTTCCCTGACTGTTAGACCTCCTCAAGCAGCCAATACAAGTTGGCCACTAGAGGGCCTACAACAGATGAGGAATACTCTTAAATGTTTGTTCACAATGATAAACCATGATAAATAAACCATTATTTTTTTTATTCTTTTTAGATGTTTCTTATCCACCTACACACTTTGTCAGCACTTTTCACTATTTATATTCTCTTAATTACTTAGCATCTCATCAATACTATAATCAAAGGAAGCAAAATTAAAAATTTGTTGCTGCTTGCTTGCAATGAAATCATCAATGACTCATTAATGGAACTGCTAAATCTGAAAGCCTACCATATGTGCAGGACAAGAGGCAATTGTTCAATTTAATGATTAAGCTACTCCAAAAGAATATATATAAGCTGTTCTGAAAGACTAACTGCAACAAGGAAAGGATATTGATGGATCAAGTTTCTTAACTTTCACTCCTACAATCAAATTAACATGAACTTGCACATTCCAAATGTGTGGTTTTCTTTTTCTAATCAGAATGCCTTCCTTCAATATACAATCATAGATCAAGTTTAAGTAATTTATTGATAATGTTTCCTGTCAAGAATACAGAATTACTCTCCTGTTGTTAATTAGCCAATGTAAGAGTAATTTGATATAAATATTGAACAATTAACAGATTTGGCTAAGTGTTAAAATGTATTGAATTTGATGTTCTAAAAATATCAGTTTTTCATTGCAGATGTTTTAAGATTCACCTTCACAAGTTTATTATCACAAAACAACAATAAAAGTAGTGATAATCAATAGACAGAAGAAGTGAAGTATGTAGGAGTGATGATAGGAAACCTATTGTGTCTTACTGTAAACTTCATACATTGCCTGTCTATATTTCTGAGATGAGGTATTATGTACAGTATTTACATTAGTCGGACTATTGTCCTCATCTTTGTCGCCATATTTGTCACAACGTTTCGGCCGTTATGCGCTCCGCCTTCTTCAGGTGGTTGGAATTTCGAACTGAACCCTTTATTTCGATCACTGGGGTAGACTGTTCTAGTTCCACGTGCCATGTTTGATGGATGTCAGTTATCAGTTATCTCCTGCTAATTTTCCCTCTGAAAGTTCTCCACTGCCTTAACCAGGAATTGAACTCACTTTCTTTGGGTCTGTCACTGGATCTAACCAACACCTTTGTCCACTGTGCCATGTGTCCTTGAGATCCGGAGCGCTGATCTTATAAAACTTTCAGTTATTTGTTTGGATAAGTCTTGTTCTTATGTACATCGTCTTTGTCATGTTGTATTGATAATGTTATATTTATGAATATGTCCTGAAGATGGTTTATTAAACTGAAACGTCCGACGTTGACATATTAACATTAAAACAGCATAATTGTATATAAGGATTTTTGTTTTGTTTTTTCCATATATATTTTTCTTCATACTGTCGGATCTATATCCATATATTTGCATATATATATATATATATATATATATATATATAGAGAGAGAGAGAGATAGATAATATAAAATTTTAAAAAAGTTTTGATAAAATATAATTGTCAAAAATCAGTTAAATCAATGAAAATTGCTCAATACAAATTCAAAAAATGTAGTGCAATTTAAGATAAAAAAAATTCATGAGAAAATGAACCTTACTGTTACTGTGCTTTCTACCAATCTGGTATCACTAAGCAGTAAGTTGAATTTTCTATCCTAAGACACTCTTTTTTTATATATATATATATATATATATATGTGTGTGTGTGTATTTAGGCAGCAATCCTTCATTTATGCATGTTTCATTAAAAACGTCAGACAAGATGAAAAAATAAATTCATCCTTGATAATGACTAAAAGTATAGCCAAAAGCACTCAGAATTGTAGAAAATTTGGACAGTTTCTACACACTCTGTGTCCCAAAAAGAAAGCACCTGTTCAAACACAAAAAGAATTAAATAAAAAGCTTAATCGTAGTACCTTGTCTGTCATTTTAAATGCATATATATATATATATATATATATATATATATGAGTATGATCATATCCTGTTGAAACACAGGTTTTTATATGATCACCTTGTATAGGACTTGTAATTCTCTCAGAATCATTTCACTGTATAGTTTGAATAAGTCCAGTAAGAAGACATGTCCTTGTCTTATGCCTCTTTCTATTTCTGTATATTGACTGAATTCATTTTCTATCCATATGCAGACAGTCTGCTGCCAGTAGATTCTGGATTATTCTAATATCCTTCCCAAATATGTCAAGTTACTACTAAATAATAATAATAATAATAATGATAAGGAAGACTATGATGCTATCATTTGAAATGGATGAGATAGAATTTTAAATCTCTTAATTTCCAAGCAGCTGCTAATCCAGACTTATATTATTTTTTTTTCTTAAAACTAGGCTTAATCTTGAGATAAACTTAAAATTATCTTTGAAAAGATTTTCCTTTTGCAATTTTTTGGACTTGTTTTTGATGTCTTTTGCTGGAAATGAAATATAGCTTTATGAAAATAGTTTTTATACCACCCCCCCAGCTCTTTTCTGCATCAAACATCACACCTTGCTAGTAACAAGACATTTTAATAAGATATCTAACGATGAGGCAGGAAGAAGTGGATTCATGCCTTTTCTAAAAGGCATTAATATAAAGTCTTTTCCAGTGTCTGTGTTGTATGTTGATAAGGGTTATGACCTTTTCTATTTTTATAATACATCTTTGTGAAATTTCTCTGAAGACTGTACTTGTACAAAACCAAAATTTCCTTGATTCACTTCCTCTTTTTTTTTTTTTTTTAATCATTTCACCCTAAGCAAGGTGATAAAGCCACTAGGATGCAAGAAGTAACAGGGAGTGAAAGAGTATAAGAAGACTTAAGTGAAGAGAAAGGACAATAAAAGAACAAGTTTCTGGAAGATAGAAGCTAGCAATTGGTATTGCAATTAGATTTTTGAAGACTGTAGATGCCAGGTAAGCAAGAAATCAGGAGTTTCACAGGCAAGAAGTGTGAGAAAAGAAACTATTAGAATAGAACAGACAGTTGCATTTAGCTACTTCAGCAGTAAAATGGTGAGACCTAGTTATCAACCTAGAAGCACACTTAAATTCATGCAGTTGAGGCACCAAAGATGAAAGCCCATCAGAATAATTGCAATGAAAATATTTGTAGAAAAGACAGAGGGAAGCCATATCAGTGAGAAAGTGTGCAAAACAATTGTTAGAAGAATAATAGCAATCCAAAAGAACTTTGTTTTGATCTTTCTGACCATATGTCTCTCTGTTTTGTTCTAAATCAGATGAAAAGATTCTCTTAAAATGTCTGCTCTTTATTTTCCCATTATAACAGGAGATTATTATTATTATATTTTATTTTACTATTATACCCATCTCATTCTGGCTGAAGTGGGGAGGGTTAACTAAATAAAAAAGAAAAAAGTAATTTCCAGTAGTTCTGAAGGTCAGATTTGTTCAAAAGTAAAAAAAAACAAAAAAAAAAACAAACATAGGAAAAACAAATTTCACCTTCAAAAGGATGTAATATTAAAAATTTAACAAAATTTTCTTCAGCATTAGTTCTAACCTGTAAAAGTTTCATGGTTTACCTATTTTAAATTTGTGATGAATACCAATTTTTTATTTAATGATTGCATTAACTCATGGCAAGTTCTATGACAATAAAATATCCATAGAAATTCCCCTATCTCGTCGTTAAATATTTGAGCAACTTTAAAAAATATTGCAATAAAAATCATAAATATGAATGCTGGTCATTATTTTAAGAAGTAAAGAGGTATTGATGAAAAGATTTGAAATTGACAACTTTCCCATTTCACTGAAAGAGACATTAAACACTTCTATCTTTCTTTCACTTTTTCACTGAAACCAAGCAGTGTCTTTGAAATGTCTTTTGTTTTCTTACACACTCAAAACAGAATAGTCCATTATTTATGAGGTATTAGCAGGAGATTTTAAACGCTTTCTTTTTTTTTTCACTGAAACCAAATAGCATCTCTGATATGTCTTTTGTCTTTCCACATGACCAAAATAGAATAGTCCATTATTTATGTGGTATTGGCAGGACGTAATGGTTGTGCAAACTAACAAAGAGAGGGACAAACACTATCATGGGATTGTTTCAATGAACATTTTTACCATTTTACTTATCCCTGCTCTCTTTTGGTTTTAAACATATTGTTTTTCTTTATTTTCATTGCAGCTTTTATCTATGCAACAGGTGCATTGGGTCCTGTGGTTGGCTATGCATTAGGAGCTCTCCTTCTACAATACTATGTTGACCTGTTCTCATATGATGTCTCCCTAACACCTGGAGATCCACGATGGATTGGAGCCTGGTGGGGTGGTTTCATCATCTGTGGAGTAGTTCTCATTCTCATGTCGCTGCCATTCTTTGCATTTCCAAAAGTGCTTAGAAAAGAAAAACAAAAGATCTTGGAGAATAAAAGTAAGGAACTTTTGCTCAGTGAGGAAGACCAGAGAGCCAACAGAGAATATGGCAGAACAATAAAAGGTAAGAAAATTTATCTTTTACATATTCTGTTAAAAATCACTTGAAATAGATCACAATTAAAATTTGCTGCTTCTTCTATGAGCCATGGTTCTCCACAATTTCCTATCCTTTGTAGCTCTTAGTAAGTTTTGTTTTTTTGCTATCTCTCCTAATAGCTGTTCTGCAAACCATTTACTGCTTTCCTCTGTCGCTCTTGCTTTCATGCTGTCCTGTGAGTATCAAGTACTCCAATCTCTCTTTCCTCATTATGTGCCCAGAAATTTTAACTATATCTTTCTGATTCTATTTATAAATGTCCTTTTTTTGTTTCCATTTTCCCTAAAATTTTGTCGTCGTTCACATGTTCAATCCATGGTATTTTCAGTATCCTTCTGTAGAACCACATTTCTGTTGTCTCAAGTCTTTTTATCTGTGGGGAGATTGTCCATCATTCACTGCCATATTGGAGGACATTATGTAACAGTACTCTTTTCTTTGTTTCAGATGAAATTTTCCTGTTTCTTAATACTTTGCTTAGCTTTTGGAAGGTAACTTTCACTATCACAATGCACCTTCAGATTTTAGTATTGCATTTTCCATCCTCTATTAAAACTCTTTCTAGATATTTAAATTTTTGTAATTGCTTAATTTTGGTGTCTTCAATTTGTAGTTTGCATTTTGGGCTGCTGAAACCATATGTCTTAAAAAAAAAAAAAATAACACCATAAATATGGATATTTATTAAGTTGGACTTAGATCCACATAAGGTAAATCTAATGTAAATTTGGAGAAGATTGTGTTGTGCCAATTGTTAAAGAATCTTGTACCACACCAGAAAATACCATCCAACTACTTCTGTCATGCTTTATCTTTACAAAACTCAGATCAAATTAAAAATGGAGTATTGCTGCCATATCTGGGATGGAGTTACCCAATCTTCACTCTTCAGAGGTGACAGCACTCAAAAATATCTATATAGCCCTGTGAGGGATGACTTATTTTCCAATCTACAGCCCCTTCCCTACATGCAATGTCACAAGCCTTCTGCTACTCTCTTACTTCTTTCATGAAAAATATTCAGACAACCTCCATTCTTTAGTACCAAAATCCAAGACCTGCCTTCCTACATTGACAGGGTTGAGTCATCCCCATTCTCTACATATTCCTATGGTAAGAAGGGTATTCCACTTCAAAAGATTCTTCCCAAGAATCACTACATGCTTCAATCTTAAAATTTTAAGCTCTTCAATTTTGGCGGTCAGTAGTTATCTATCCACTATAATTTACACTTCCTACAGCCTCTTATTAACATCACACACCTCATTCAATGGAACTTGGGCCTGTATTACGTGAATATTAATAAAGAAAAAAATATATAGTGAGGAAAGTCTGCCTATTTTAAAAATCAGCATTTAGCCTTTTGCTTAAGTTTGAACATTTACACCAATCATAAATATACAAACATCTAATCTACCACAACGCAAACATGTATGTGTTGTATATGAATGTGGATTTAAATTCTGAATATTTGAATAGGAATTGTTCTTTTAAACATTCATTGTTAAAAACAACAGACATTTTTGTGTATTATATTTAATGATCTTTCTTTCTAATGAACAAATATTCTTTCACACTCTTAGCCAAAATTTATATTTTGTTCTCCCAAGCTTTTGACTTGGTTGACAGAGGAAGAAAATTAAGTATGTTTTAAAACGTAGATTGTGTTGTTATTTTTGCAAACTAAATCAAATGCAGCTTGAGACAGCTAGTCATTTGACTCCAATGTGTAATAATGTGTTTGGTACAATAATTATTTCTATAATATCATGTATTGAAGCCTCATTATGAAGCTCACCTCACAAATCATTATGACTGTGGTAAGTTGAGTCCCCAACATCTGTAACTTTTTTTGCTAAACTAAGCAGCATAAGATATGCAGATGACACTGTGTTGATGACCAGCTCATAAAGAACACTGAAAGAACTGTCTATATTTCTGAGATGAGGTATTATGTACAGTATTTACATTAGTCGGACTATTGTCCTCATCTTTGTCGCCATATTTGTCACAACGTTTCGGCTGTTGTACGCTCCGGCCTTCTTCAGGTGGTTGGAATTTCGAACTGAACCCTTTATTTCGATCGCTGGGGTAGACTGTTCTAATTCCACGTGCCATGTTTGTCCTCAAGGACACATGGCACAGTGGATAAAGGCGTTGGTTAGATCAGTGACAGACCCAAAAGAAGGTGAGTTCAATTCCTGGTTAAGGCAGTGGAGAACTTTCAGAGGGAAAATTAGCAGGAGATAACTGATAACTGACATCCATCAAACATGGCACGTGGAATTAGAACAGTCTACCCCGAAATAAAGGGTTCAGTTCGAAATTCCAACCACCTGAAGAAGGCCGGAGCGCATAACGGCCAAAACATTGTGACAAATATGGCGACAAAGATGAGGACAATAGTCCGACTAATGTAAATACTGTACTGAAAGAACTATTAGACAAGATTGAAAGCAGAAAGGACTAACTATTAACTGGAAGAAGATAGAATGCATGGTTATCATCAAAAGATATACACATTTTGAAATCACTTATGGACACATTTCTGAAGTTTTCTATGTGATTCTCCAAAAATGGAACTTTTCATACTCTACAAGATTGCCATGCTGTTGATGTATGTCCTGACATAACTGTTTTTTTTCTGATACTTGATCTTCTACCAACTTTTTGCTTCTTTACCATTCTTATAATCCTGCTTGAAGCACAGGTTGAAATCTTAATCATCAGATTAAGGATCGTACACTGTCCAACAACATTCCTTCCATTTGTAAACTATCAAAGTAACACTACACAAATGAAGCTGCAGACCATTACCAATGATACATGTAACCTTTACGTTTATGATAAAGACATTATGGTTGCAATTGTAACAACTGATATAGACTGTATTATCATCCCAAGAATATTCTAAAATAACCTCCAGCTATTTAAAACTAAGCACTTTAAGCAAATTTACATTTCTCCAACAGCATTAGCTTATACCTCTTTCGAATGGACACTGAATATTTATTTTTTTATTAAATAGTTTATATAAATGCATTTTTTCAAACTTTTGGTCATATCTGCTAATGTACAGTTGGAACTAATATGTTGCTTAATTTTGAGGTAAATACTTTATGTGCACATAATGTAATACATGCCTATATATATATATATATAAATGACAATAGGAAAACTGTAGTAGTTACTGACGCGTTTTGTCCAATGTGGATTTTCTCAAAACAAAAAAACGAAAATATCATTATATATATATATATATATTATTAATAGAAATAAGCGGCTCTTAAAAAGAGTCTACCATGAATGCACACAGGAAAGAAAAAGTGCTCAACACCATATAAAATAATAGAGCTTTTCTAAATTAACTATTATCTTTCACGTCTACAGTGTCCAACCACTACTGTAAGTTTCATGCATTTATGCAATTTTTAGGTGGTCAGCAGCTGTAGTGTGAAAAGGGGAACCTTTATTCCCTCGGGCAGTAAGATGGATAAAAAATGGACAGTGCGTGCACACCATGTATATGTATGAGGTTCCCTTCTATGACACTCAAAATCATATATACATACAACATGATGGCATTTCCATGTGTTTAGTTCTAGGGCCAACATGTAGCAACTTCTAAATGGCTAACTTTGAAAATAAGATATTTAATGCCACTAAAAAAAAAAAAAAACACCATCCACCTAACAAATGTAGATGATATTCTAGTCTTAGTTAAAAACATAGATGAACTACAAAAAACTATTCTTAAATTCACGTTGAACTTAACAATAGAATTCCTTTTCTTGATATATTGATAGACACCAATAATAATGCATTTACCACCTTCCAATATTAAAAACTAACTAGCATAAACATGTGCAATCTCAACTATAAAAGTAAATATCCTGACTATTACAAAACAGCAATTATACAAAATTTAATAAACTGTGTAAAAGTTAACTCTTCACTTAAAAAAAATTTTCTACACTAAATTAAAAAAACATTGAACACACTCTCATTAATAATGATTTTCCTAATTACATTGTTGATGAACAAATTAGACAAATATAAATATTAACATAAACCAAAAAGAACATAATACTTCCTCAAATAATGCTAAACATATCAACCTACTATACCACAATCAAATACACTAAAAGAATGAGATGAAAAAACTTCCTAAATGCTAATATATCCCCCACTGATCCCAGTAAAAAACATAAAACTAATTATATATTATGCTAAATTTAATACCACCAACTTAATCATCCATAATAACTTTTCTCCATCAAGTAGTGTTTTGCAAAAGACCAACATTATATATCAATTTAAATGTCCTTTGGGAGATTGTATCTCTGACAAAAATGTAAATATTTATGTTGTTTTCACACTGGAACCCCAATCAAGAATGCTTACTTTACAAATGTTGAATTCAAGTTCTATTGCACAACATTTAAAAGAACATTCCTGTCTATATTTATGTTTTAGAGAAATATTCATTGACAATACAAGTATACTCGAGCATAAAAATAAAAAACAAAAACTTCAAATTCTTGATGCACTCTATATGAAAAAATGAAACCAACACTAAATAAAATTATGAGTATAGCAACAATGTTTTAAAATGTCTATAAAAGCAATGTTTTGTGATTCTCAAATTGTAAATAAAAAAACATTTTTTTTAAATTGCAGGTTTAGTATTTTTAGAACATTAATAATAAAAAATTTAAACTAAGTTAACTGAGTTACATATTATTAATGCAAATTGACTATAACAGAGCAAGTTTCATGCACATTTACAAAAAAATTAAAATTCACAACTATCAATTACATTAATTTTTGCCTGAAGATGATCTTGGATGAGATTGAAAGTACTTGGGAAAATAAGAAATAACCAAAATCATGGTGTCTTTTTTTTTTTTACTCAGTTTTGTAACAGCACTAAGAAACTGATTCATGAATTTGAGAGAATTAAA